TTCATGTGTTTCCTTATTTCATGCACTACGGTACCTTTGTAAATTTACTCTCACTGATAAAGCGAGTTATATGAAAATGTTAACAGGTCATCCAGGGAGATGACAGTTCATATCTGAGAACTTTGATCTTGAATCATTCGTGTATGGGGCTCTTCAGTGTTTTAAAAAAAGCAATTAGAGCTTTGGAAATAGTTCGGCTGGATTATGGCTTATTCAAGTCCTTTCAAGTTAGACCTGTTAAAACAGTATCAGATTTTATAGATTTGTAACACTCAGGTGACTATGCATTATTGCAGGTTTTATGTAATAACTTTCCTAAATGCAAAACTGAATATAGTTATCTTGTGATGTATGCAATCCAACTTACAACTTCAGGATATTGTCAGAGCACTTTTAATAACCTAGCAGCTTTTCTATTAACATGTTGAGTTTCTTAGGGCAGTCAAGTTCCAGTCCCTAGTTCTTGCTTTTTAATAATGAACTCGGTCTCTAAAGTTAAGCACGTTGGTATCCACTAGTGGGGAGAGGACCAGCACAAAGGCTGTAGTACTGCTTTTGTCTGTCGTGACAGTCATAATTTAGCCCTTCCTGTCAGGATAGCTTTAGCAGCTGCAGCTGTGGGGAGACATTTTCTTTTGGACTTGGTTGCGCTAAAGTAGAAACTTACTGCTCTTCCTTTCCACTCTGCCCTTAACTACTCTGTATGACCGTTTCATTGTCCTTGGAGGAGATGAAGAAATTTCATTCTAATCTGCTTCAGTGTAAATAACCAGGCTGGTAAAATGCTTCCTGTCTCATCTTAACACTGAAAATGAGCCAGGTCATTTAAATGCACTTACTCGTGCCAGCCTGCCTAAGCTCTGCAGATAAGTCATATGACCACTGCTGTCCTGTGCTGTCACGCAATTGGTGACAGGCAGGTGAGTGGTTGCCCTCCACCATGCTAAGAGTGTGTTGGGGGGGGGGGAAATCAGACAACCCTTTCAAAATCAGGGTTGGGGACCAGCTATGGGAACAGAACAACTCTTTTGTTGTCTTGCCTTGCATTGGTCAAGGAGATAGAGGTGTACAGAAGGAAAAGCCCCCTCTGTCGGTATGCTCTGCTCTGTTATGCTAGTAAAGGAAGAGCCTTAAAGGTGAAGCCAGTATCCTTAGCAAATGCTTCTTAATAATGAGACCACCAATTGTGGGTACTAGGAAGTTGGGGCAATTTGTAACTTTGCTAAATCTTTGTGTTCTGCTGTGAACTTTGCCATTTGGTAAAGCGTGTGCTTGCATTTTCTGTTCTCTTCTGTACAGCCATAAGTAGGAAAGCTTTGACTTGCCATATGTTTCTCAGGCATAACATCATCTCTGTGGACTTGACTGTGTGGGGGATCTTTTGCTGCTTGGACTAAATCTAAAGGTTTAATCTTATGTATGACACTTTTTTTGAAGATACTTGTATTTGTTTACAGAGAAAGAAGGAAAAAGTGTGAATTCTCTAAAGCACTTGATTAAATGTAGTTTTAAAAATATATTTATTCAGATTATATTTCTGTTGATGTAAAAATAATAGAGCAACCGAGTGCCTCCCTGGCTTCCCTACTGCATAAGGCCTTATGAAAAGGCATCCTGATATGCTGCTGCGTCTAATGTTGTGCATGCCAGTATATTGCTGCCTGAGCTTGATCAGTTGTGCGTCTCTGTGTATCGATCAGAGAAGCTGGGGCTGCAATTAGTCCTTTTCTGTTGAGCTGATGAACTGATGCAATTCTCTTCAGACAAAGAAGCTACAGAAACAGATTTTTGTAGACCAGGTCCTTGCCCATGAATTTGTAGCTTGGTTATATTTGGGGATTGGTGGGGGGTTTTTTATGGTGATCAAGTGTTTTTGCTGTATGTTTCAGCATTAAGGGTAACAGTAGTTGGGAGTAAGCTCCAATCTTGCTGAATTTGAGCAGGATGTCAGATGGGGGTGTCATCCGCTGAAGGGCAATGTTTTATGTTGGCTGCATATTCACCATACAACCATGCCCTTCCCATCGCATTTGCCAGAAAGGGGAAAATGCTTTCTATTAATATGAGGAGCTCTTGCAAGACAAAGTAGTGAGGAGGAGCAGGTGCTGCCTGAGGAACTTGCAGGACCTTACTCAAGAGCTGCTCCTGTGTAATAGGCACCTGGCTAACCTCCAGCTTCGCAAAGGTACTGTTTTCATGAACTGATTTGCACTGGTAGCTCTGACTTTTTTTTTTTTTTTTTTTAAAACATCACCACAACTCCTGAAAGCAAAGAGCAGGGAGCCACAAGGGAATTGCGTGCTTCATGAATGGGAGGCAGAGTGGCCTTGAGCAGTAACAAGTGCAGATGTTGACAGAAGCACTATGATGCTTTTAACATTTTTCCAGGGATTAGCTGTTCCTTTGCAGTGTGGTAGATGTGCACAGTCAAGATTCCCAGGAGTGGCTTTGCTTGCATGTGGTTTTTTTTTTGTTCCAGCCTGTTGCAGGCAGTGTATGATATTTCTTCTTGTAGAAGTTTTAGTCTCCATCCTCTGTGATTGGCCATGACTTTGTTCTGTGATCCAGGCTTTGGATGGGGTGGGGTTTGATAACTTCTTTTTCTTTCTTCCTATCAGCATTGACTTTTTTTTTCCCCCTCAAGTTTTTGGAATGGCTGTTCAGGCCACTTCTCTGGTGCGATGGAGAGGTGGAGAGGACCTGTTCAGTATTTTGTGCAATCAGGAATTGATATTTCAGTAGAAACTGCCAACTAGGTTGTGTGTGAAGTCAGCTCTTCCTATTTTTGACTAATAGCAGAAGTGAGATAAAGTATGCAAAGCCAAATCACAACTAATAGCAAATAAGCAAATCAGCAATAGGAACCCAGAACACTGCCAGAGAGGAAGGAGGTCAGCATTATGATCAGCCAGAGCCCTGACCCGAATTGGCAAGTCCCCCAGGGAAGTGTACCTGAACACCACTATACTGCTTCCAAGCTGGCTCATGCAGAATCAGGTGTCTGCACTGCTGCGCAATTAATTCACAGCCAAGGGACCTGAGAGAGGATGGTAGTTATAAGGCAGGATACATCTGCTGGAACTCAGAAAACTCGCTACGAAACTCTAGAGCAGAGATTGGTTCCTACCAACTAAGGATAAATGTAACTCAATACCCTTATTTGTATGGAGGATATCCGTTGTCTTATTGCTGTCAGTTTTTCATTTTTGTAGTTATCCTTGATGTATCTGGAGGTAAAGGTTAACCAGAAGCACTAGTACTTGTCTGCCAAACTTGGAAACTGTTCCGTCTTCCTTGGTGAGCGATGATTCTGCCTTCACGTATTGAGCTAGTGAAGGCTAGCTAGTACAGTCCTGCAAGTTAGTTTGTCTGGGCGTGCAGCATCTGGAGTGGTCTAGGAGTCAGTGGTCAGGGCCTTCAGGCCTGCCAAGTTCTGCTCCTCTTTCCCCTCACCTTGCTGCGTTGCTTCCTCCTGAAAGGTGCCCTCTGTGTCTGTGCACTATGAGAGTACAGGCTGTTGTTTTTCTTTGGAGCACTTGTAATGTGGAAGTCTCATCGTGGTCTCAGGTTCTCCCTCACAAATATCGCGCACCATAATGCTTCTTGGCTTCTGTTGTCTCTTACTGCATTGTGCTTTGGAGAGCTGCGTGAGCTATGCAGAAAAGTAACTTTGCATCTTGA